AATTTCCTTTGCTGTTTTTGAGCCTACCTCTTTAGGTACTGCCCAAAATGCAAAAAACATGAACGAGCTTCAAAGAAATTAGATTTGTGGAATCTGCCGCAGGTAAGCCTTTCGCTTTGCCTCTTTTCTTCATTTCATTCATCATCATATTCTGAAATTGTTTTGCATCATTTTAGATTCTCATCATCCACTTAAAACGATTTCAATATAGCAAGTGGCATCGTGACAAAATTGATATTCCTGTTGTGATCCCTGTAAAGTCAGTTTATTGGCTTTTTGGTGTTAATTAGGTATTGCTCATTTGACGTTAATGAAAGCTTTATAACAATTACAGAGGATTTGAGCTTAATTCGAAGTTGGCAAACGAGAGACACGAGCATGTGAAATACGATCTGATCGCGATGAGTCATCACGTTGGAGGACTCGGTGGAGGACACTACACCGCCTCAGCGCTCAATAAGACAACAGGAAAATGGTGAGTTGGCATTTAATTACCGCTGGTTTATTATGAAGTTACGTAAATTAGGAATTAACTTTTGAAATTCACACCATAAATGCGCAGGCTATGGTGAACACCCTATTTCTGCAAAATTGAGCGTGCTCTCAGCCTAATATTGCCAATTATCATCAAAATTAAGGCTATTACATATTAATTCTTATTGAACAAATAATGAACTTACCTTTAAAAAAATTCATATTGATCTGTAAATACCGATTTAATTTGACATTGAGCACTGAGGAACTCCTTTTTAAAATACAACTTTTTAATTTCGAGTTTTTTTTTAAACTACTTATCTTTTTACAAAGTTGTTTGAAATGGAGTTCTCACATGTAAGCTTGAATATACTTTTAGAATATCAATGAAAAATTGCTCTTTTTCCTGAAAAACATGTTGTTTTGATCTTGCAATTTCTAGGTAGGCTTCAGAGGCGCAAAGAATGTAATAGTAGTATGAAGAGAGTGAATATGCTCACGTTTTTGTCGAGCTGTGGGAAGTGCTCCCCAAACTACCGGTTGGCAATAATTGTTGTTTATAAACTCGCCG